TGCTCCCAGGTTTCCTTTCCTCCTCCAACTCATGCCAGTCTACGATGAATAACAACTGGAAATATTTCCAAATCTCCACAACTGCCTCAAAATTCAATTCAACTGGTGCTCATTGGTGACTAGCTTGGAGAAGCATTCCCCAAGTTGCAATGAGAAGTGGTGACCGGTTGAGTGGAAGCCTGATGGAGGTGAGGCAGAAACTCAACGATGTCATTGGGTGGTTGCACCCGAACTGCCGTTCGAACACACGACCTCTAGGTTCCCTGGCCAGTGCCTTACCATTGAGCCACCCGGTCATAATCCAATGCTCCTTATTTCCAAACTCTCACCTCAGGATATAGTTCAACCACCACCAATGACATCATCGAGTGTCTGTCTCACCACCATCAGGCTTTCACTCCACCGGTCACCACTTCTCATTGCAACTTGGCGAATGCTTCTCCAATCTAGTCACCAATGAGCACCAGTTGAATTGAATTTTGAGGCAGTTGTGGAGATTTGGAAATATTTCCAGTTGTTATTCATCGTAGACTGACATGAGTTGGAGGAGGAAAGGAAACCTGGGAGCACTGGACAGCTGTTTCGTGGTGGTGAGAGACTGGTCAGCAGAGCGGTGGTTGCACTGTATCGTGAGGTGAGAGAAGTTGGAAATATGGAGGATTGGATTGTGACCGGGTGGCTCAATGGTAAGGCGCTGTCCGGGGAACCTGAATATGCTGGGTTCCAACCGTGGTGGGGTGGTTGGTGCGCACTGCTGGGCAGTCTGATATCACCACGAAACAGCTGTCCAGTGCTCCCAGTTTTCCTTTCCTCCTCCAAGTAATGTCAGTGTACGATGAGTAATGATTTCTTTCTTACTTATTTAATTGAAGGTTTCAAACAGTCTGCATTTACCATCGTAAGAGGTGTTCATTCGCTATTTTTATCACTGATTACACTTAGCGTTAACTTTCTTTTTGAGTTTAAATGTGTTTTGAGTGCAAGTTATAGAAGTTTAACATCGTTTCAGATCAGAAATTAATAAGAGGTTGTATTCGTCTATCATAATTCCTTTTAATCAAATGTGGTTGTGAACTTTGAACAAAAAGTGGTCCAAGTAGCATCAATCTCTAGAATAAATTCGTCAAAATATTATGGATGAATGGTTAGAGATTTTTGGTCACAGTCTAAAGTTTATAAAATTGCACAAATATATTCATCTTTTATAGTCGAAACTTTGAATATCTCATCACAATTCATAATTTGCTCTCATCCTTTCTCTTTTTATCTGGATATCCTCCTGTTTTCGTTGGTTTTCGCACCATAGTACTGCAAATCAAATTGCAGCTATTTTGTGCAAATTTCCGTCTTGTCAGGCGTAAACAACTTGGAAGCACTTATTCTCTGTATTTATCAGTTCCTCGATTCTCAGCACTGCTGATGTCATTCAATTTCTTCTCGTAGTCAATTTAAATCGAGTGGAAAAAATCTTTTTCAAATGAGTGATATGAACCTACCTTATTTCGGAGTTTCTCATTAGTTGTTTAAAACTTTAAAATATTAATGCCAAAGCCATCCCCTCACGCCAATCACTGACGAAAAATTATTGGCTTAAAGAAAAATAACATCGTTGTTGCGTAATTTAAGTCACAAGAATTGAGTGGTTTGTGTTACAGGAACTAATAATAAGCTTGTCTACATACATAAAGATTCGACAAATAGTCTAGAGGTAAGAACGAAATTCGGACAATAGAGACAAACATATGTTTGATGCTTAAAAGTTTGTTACGTAAAAATATGTATAAACGGAAGTCAAAGGACTTACACCAAGAAAATCAGAATTCTGATAATGAAGTCAAGAGTCTGAAATGAAACAAACATAGGTATATGGACTGATAATCGTACGTAATAATATAATTATCAGGATTAAAATATTGACATCGTACGGATAGACAAACTGTTTCTTTTTGAATACATAAATTCAGTCTTAGTACCTACCTTTTCAAACAAACACAGCAAGCTGCAGTTCATTCGTCTATTAATTGCTCCAAGTGATTTCTGGATATAAACTTCATGTCCACTATCATTTAGGTGATGAGTAATTACACTGCTGAAGACTTTCACACCTTATTCACAAATCCCTCAGAAAATGGTCATAAATACGGTTGCAATCCCTTCTTTCTGGTTGTTCAATATATGTGCATTGTTACATACAAGTGAATTGATATAAACAACTGGAAAAATAATAATGAAGAAAACACGTTAACCTTAAGGAAGATGAATCGCTTCGACAACTAATTTAGTTTTTAAAATGGTGTGTACAGTTAACGTGCAGCCTTTTGAAAACGGTGGTGGTTCATTTGAAGACATCAAAAGCTCCCAGGTGTATTAACAGTATCTTTAGTACTAGCAAGTACTTCGGGTACAGGTATACTAACCAGCTATGCCCACTGGCTATATTCCACTACATAAGGGCAGTATCTGACGCTTTCGGTCAGTTAACCTAGTTAGTATTTTTCAATGAAGTATCAGATATAGTCCAGTTTTTCACTTTTGCGTGAATCCAGTTGGAGCAACTACGATCAGTTAGTCACATCAACTGATATGATAAATTTCGGTCAACTTTTACTCAGTGTGCCTAAGGCACAATACTGCTAGACTTTTAGGTATTTGTCTCGTATACGAAATGGTTGCACGCAAAAGGTACGGCATAGGAAGACGGATATGTTTATCGACTGTTATTTCAGTGTTGATTATGTTGTACATTATTGTACAATAAAAATGCAACCGATTGTAAAGATGTTGTAAAAAGTTCGAAAATCTGAATAATCAGTGTTTTTCAGCCATTGTTTATATTTAGTGGAGTTTCTAAGTGTCTTAATGGGATTTAAGGCGGAGTAACTGACAATTAGGTGATTGCTTTTTAGCTGGGGTCTTCGAAAAGTTAAAAACTAGTGCTTATCGCAATTAACAAATGACGTACGTTAGCTAGAACATTTGTTCCTTAAGGTCCTATCATCTCAGAAAAGTTTGTTGGATAGCCGTATGACTAAAAGCAGGTACCTTCTTGGTACCAATGGCTTGCACTATGGTGGGGGTTCGAAGAAAGGTTGTACTGCCGACTATGTAGGATACAACAGCAGTAAAGTTTTTCCTGCTAATTCCACCTCACCTTCACCACACATGGACATAAATCAAGATTTGAAACGAAAATATTTCTACCCTAACAGCGAATGACCTTGAATGATTTCCATTTTTGGCCGCGTCTTAACAAATAACTAAAGGAGAATCAGTCCGGCCAACATGGGGTCCAAGATCCTAGGTTCTATAGTCGTAAGTTACCTGAGTGAAACTCAGGAAGAGCAGACCCAAAGGAACGACGCAGGGTTCTGACCCGGTCACTGATGCATTGACACAATCTTAGAAAACAGGCATTAGTTGCATTTAACTCGTTAGTAGATTTACACTACGCAGACATTTACTGTGGTCACAGATGCAGTTTTCTCGACACCTCGAGTGAAAATTTGAGGATGTTTCGTGGGTACTTTTTACCTCAGAAAGTCAAGTAGTTACTTCAGGACTGCTCCGCATTGATAATTCATCTGACAATAGTGACCAAAGTGATCGGACGCGTTGACCATTTCACTTGTGTAAAGTCGGATCAATTCTGATAGGCCAGAGACCGACTAAATCTCCGGTCGGATACAAGAGACTCAACTAGCTTTCATCAATTGTGGTTTCTAGCCGGATTTCTCTTCGCATGCTGCTGCGAAGCGTGAACATTTGAGCCGATGCATTTCTGTGTCAGGTTTTACATTGATCTTAGTCCTTTAACTTTTTACGGCTTTCGACTAAGCCACTTTCATAACCCTGTTCTTTGCCTTGTATCTGTATGAGGTATGGCAACCTGGACACAACCATGCCAGATCCCATGTTCTATACGACATAAGATAAAATAGTGTAGTGTCACAGTTATACTTACTCTTCTTAGAAGCTTAATAGTACAATTTTTCCTCCGAAACTTATAAGTCCAGTTGTTTTGCTGCACCTACCGAAATCTGGGCAACCAAGTAATATCATCAGTTATTATACAAAAGATTCGGCTCATTGCCTAATGCACGAACTTGCACGCAATTGTTTGAGAAATCCCCTGCCAATTATATATCTTGACCACGTACATCTGCTTCAAGTCATCAACTAAACGTCCTGCCGTTCCACACTTTTTACGGAGACCAAGTGAATACTAGAAAATAAGCTATTGTAAAAATCAACTCACTGATGTACAAAGGCCCATCGTATATGTAGTTGTAATGCATTTGTTACATGCCCAAGGTAAGATGCTATGCCGAAGTGAGATGAGATTTTAGTGGATCACAAAGTGACCGGTGAGGAAACGACAAATTATTGAAAGTTAATTACTCTGTCTTATGACCTGTAGCTACCGAACAGAGTGAAGCGATAAAAATTCGGAACTTCGGTGGTCAAACAGCCGAACACACTTCGGCAATGAATAACAAGATTTTGACAATTTTGTAACATGCTAATAAATACATAAATAACGCAGTGCTTCATTAAAATGTATCCCTCAAAAATATATGTTAGGACGAACTAATTACTCACAGTGTAACCAGAACTGAGGCTAGTTTACCATAGTGCATAGTGATGACTAGTTTACACAAATTTATCTAGCATACATTCAAGGAAGTCGAAAGTACATTGAAACATTAGGATTTAAAAACAGATTTATTGAAAAAGCCAAAAATCAACTTATAAGAAGTTATTGTGACTGGAAATCCAATACTCATCACTAAAGAAGCAAAAGCGTTTTAAACGTAGGTGCCAGAAAATATCAGAAAAGAACAATTTCGAAGAAAAACTCCAAAAAAGTAACTATACGTTTATGAAATAAAGATTTGTACAAGAATCTTAGTGTAAGAGTTTGTTCTTCATAGAGCAAAAAGCCAACAAGCGTACGACATATACAATTAGAACGGCTTCCAAACAAACGCTAAATTTACACTTCATTCAATCAGCTTCTTGGATTTGAAGTAGCGCCTTAAATACAAAACTTGCCAACATGCGAAGCCGATGAGGATCACCATTGATAGGATTGAGAAATATAAAACCCTTGTATGGGTTGATTCTAGCAGGGAAAAATAAAAAGCAAAGAAAAAGGGAATCAGCTTGATTGATCTGATTGAAAAATGTGATATGTGAACACTAGTATATTTTATCGGAATCATAGAATGTACCATTTATATAGCTCGCAATAAAATATCCATAGAACTCCCAGCAATCAAATAAAACTTCGTGTAAATGCAAAGACTAATGATTCGAATTGGTTGTCCAAACCTCAATACGTAGAGTACGTACAATTCCTGCCAGCACTCACAATTATCAGAAGAATAAACTATTAACATTCACAGAGATGTCCCATGCAAAACGACTGACAGATGTTCAAATTACCTATAAAATTACAAATACCCAATTAGACTTCGATCTCTAAGTTAGTGTTCATCATTTTAGCTTTGTATCGATGTTAGTTCCAACCGTAGTTAACTCACCAAGAAAACTTCTGAAAGCTGATGCGTGTACGCTCTTACCATAGCCATACTGTTTTCACTCATTCCGTACTTCTTACCAGAAGAGAAAGTATTGGATACCAATACCGTCAACTTACTACAATAGCCAAGAAAGAGAAAGACGCTCTTGCAACATATCTTCACCTGCCAGAAGAGGAACCTGCTGACAGCTGGTCGTCAAAAACAATGCGTACAATGCCACTATTATTAACATTCAGATGCTACAATTGTTTTACTTGAAAATAACGTAGACGCAGGCAAAAACCGTTTAAATATTGCATGTAACTTTTCTTACATTGTCGATTATATTGAAGAAAGAAAAGACAACTCGACGAGAGAATGTTTATTAGGAAGAATTGGAATGGTACTGGTTACATATAGTACTTCTTGCATTTACGCAGCCATTTGTAAATGTCTGCGTTTCCTCCCGTCCCTGTCTTGATTTGCTCTTGACCGGCTCTTCATATACTCTTATCAGCAGCATCCCCTGTAATACGTCTGTGTTGTCCCCTGCGTCGCTCTTGGCAAAAACCTTACCCATTGCCGGTAATTCCCAATGATTCCTGCCACCCTCTCGATATATACTACTTATGTCCGTCGTTATCAGCAACGCCCACTACAATATTACCTATCAGCAACTATCAACGTGTTCAGACTTATTAAGGCGACTAGGGTGTAAACGTCAACAACAGTTAGTGAGGCTATAGCGGAGAAGCACGGATCTGCGATCCACCCGCAGAGGAGACGACTGGAACGATGGTTAGAACACTTCGAGGAACGGCTAACTGGCCTCCAGCCACCTTTGCGTCGCCCACTGTCCAGTCGGATCCTGAATGGAACATTGACGTTGGCCCCCCAACACTAGCAAAGTCAAGAAAGCTGTAGGTAACTTGAAACGAGGAACGGCAGCAGGACCTGACTGACTACCTGCTGAGGTATACAAGGATGGTGGTAAGTTGCTTTTAGTCAAGTTAACGGAAGTGGTAGCTAGTTTATGGGAACCAAATACGATCCCCTCTGACTGATCTAAATCACTGATTATTCCAGTCTTCAAGAAAGGCGAGAAGTCCTCTTGTGATAACCACAGAGGAACCAGTCTGACGAACATAGTGTCAAAGATTCCAGATTCTATAATTCTTCGACGCCTGAGTGGAGCTCGGGAACAACAACCCTGAGAAACCCAGGCAAGATTTAGACCCGGCCGCGGGTGTATCGACCAAATATTCACTCTGCACTGACACTGGCTGTATTTCTCGACTTGAAGGCGGCATTCGACTCCGTTGATCGAGAAGTCTTATGGCAGCGTCTCTCACTGAAAGGCGTGCCGGGTAAGTACATCACCTTATTGAGGGCTCTCTACTCGAACACTTGTGGGCGTGTTAGAGCCTATGGCGAGATATACGGGGAACTTATGCTCACCGAGTGGTGTCCGTCAAGGGTGCCCACTATCTCCATTCTTATTCAATTTTATCATAGATATTCTTGTGGAGGTCTCCCTCTCGTCACCTGATTGCACAGAGGTTGACCTAATCGCAGGAGGATTTTCGTTAGACCTAGAATACGCAGATGACATAGTCCTTTTAGGTGAAGACGCTGACAAGATGCAGAGTCTTCTGAACACTTTGAGTGGCAATTTGAGAATGTTTGGGATGGGTTTCTTACCACCGAAATGCAAATTGTTGCTCCAGGATTGGTCTTCAACAGTGCCACGACTAATAATAGAGAGTATAGTGATTGAGTGTGCCGACCACTTCAATTACCTGGGAAGTAGGATCAGCCCCGGTGGCTCAGTGGCCTATGAAATCTCTGCACAGCTACAAAAGGCTCGGTTGGCTTTCGCCAACTTACGCCACCTATGGCACCGCCGTGATATCCGATTGTCTATTAAGGATCGCGTGTACTGCACAGCAGTCTGCACTGTTCTACTGTATGGCTATGAAACATAGCCATTGAAAGTGGAAGACATGAGAAGGCTTCAAGTGTTTGACCACCGTTGCCTTCGTAGTATAAACCGTATTCCGTGGTGTCACCACGTAAATAACGCAGAAGTCAGGTGTAGAGTTTTAGGGAGAAGAGGTAAATCAGTTGACGAGGTTATGAACCTTCATCAACTAGGATGGTTGGGACATGTGTTACGTATGCCTAGTCGCCGATTACCTCGTCAATGTTTGCCGAAGTAGGTCCAGGCTGGAAAAAGGCCCGAGGCTCTCGGCCAAACTAAAACATGGCATCAAGGTATGAAGTCTCTGGCTGTTGGTCTGAGCCATGTGGGGCGATGCAGACTAGCCGGTTGGGGTCCACAGGACAAGAGGAACCAGTAGTTGGAGACTCTAGGTGATCACGTGGCTCAGAACCTATGTCAGTGGCGCAGATGTATGCACACATTATCCTCATCTTACCGACGCTGTACTGAATCTCACCATTTTCTCATTCTTCCTTTCTCTCTTTCAGTACTTTATATTTCTTTTGACTGAATTTTCTTATCTTCATCTTGCACTTCGCTGTCTTTTTACTTGATGTACTGATATGATCTGTGACAACTCGGACCGTTACGCAGTAATGCCTGGTCCTATGCTGATTTTGATGATTATGAGAAGTGTTAATGAAGTAAACCAGGTTTTATTGTAGGGGTAACAAACTACTGAAAATTATTCTAATATAATATTGTACAGTACTACAATGCCCATGTTCTACTCCTAAATTAGTTATAATTGTTTCAGAACTTCTGAGCTTGACTACTGCGTGATTTGTAAAATGAATGTAACCAGAGGAACAGAATGCTTAGGAAGATTATTTGATTATTATAATTCATTGGCATCAATATATGATTAATTTCGATCTAAATATGCAATCCATCTGAATACCTATGATGCTAAAATGATATGGCTTTCCAAAAGCTTTCATCGGAACGCTTTAAAGTTTATGCCGTATGTGTTACGCGAAGTCAAAGTGCACTCAGTGACCTTGTGCACATTCATGCCACATGCATTGAACCATACTTACTATGTGATGGCCAGTGATGCTACCTGGTTGCCAAAACCTCGGTAGGTGAAGCGGCACACAAACTTGTGATTAACTGGTTAAAAGTCAACTGCCTAAATAAATGAGCCACACATTAGATTGTGAACAATTGTTATGCGTTAATCAGTCTAGGTCGGTAAAAAGATTTGAAACCAGAACTCGACAGTTAACTGCAAACCACTTTAGTGGGGAGAAAATTGGTGTAACCTATGCAGGTTTCATGTTCAGGGACAACTGAATAACCCGAAATAGTCCTCCGAACATTCAAAAATTCTTAGGGCATATATATCAAACATCAAAACAAACAAAACTAATACGTTTTGTAGCATAGTAGAAACAGTTCGCAGCAGACCTAGGACTCGTATTTAATACAGTGATACTGATGACTCTGTGCTAGGCGAACATCAAAAGCGAGGGGTTTATGTGTGAAGAAACCAGTGTGCTGTTGAAAAGTATTGATTAATGCACCTACTACATTCCTACGCAAAACTCCCTTTCTCATTAATATCCCACAGACAATGTGTAGTAACGTACTCTTCGAATAGGAATGGTGTCTGGGAGTAACTCCATGAAACTTCAAAGCATTTCATTTTGAAATCCCACACTTCCATATATTCATGTTGCACGACCTATTTTACAAAATGGAAAACCGAAATGAATCCAAAATTCAGAAAACACACGGATTAGTGCACGCATCCGCACACTGGGAACCAAAATGGTCACTACTGGATATCATCCTACTGATTAACAGCTCGACTGATAGCTGCTATCTTGACTTGATGGTTGGATTTCCATACCACTATGACCCAACGAACTCTGCTGGTGGAACGTTTTTTCCCTCGGGGTCCCACTATGCTAGAAAGATCTGTTGGATAATGGTTAGACGAAAAGAAATTACCGTTATGGTGTAAGTCTTTACATCCTAATGGGGGTTTTAGGGAAAAGACATATTGCTGGCTCAATGAGTGTTTGACAGAAGTAAGGTGTTTACTTCGGTTCACCAGCAGCACCACACTGATCCTGCCTTTTTTTTTATGGTAAAAAGGAGTTAGAAAGGTTGGGCCTAAAAAGAGAACACTCCCAGTGCATTTCGATGACTGCATCTAGTCAGCACCTTGACCTAGCATGACAATGTCGTCTGCATACTCCAAACAAACCAGATGACCTCAGTGGAGTGGATCAGCCCCTGTGAAGTCAAACGTATTTAAGGTCATGTCCGTCGGTACGTCTCTGACGAAGTTAAATAGGAACGGTGGTAATGGACATGCCTGGGGGACACTACTAGTTGTCGTCAATTCTGATGACGACTCTCTATGAGCCGTTACACGGCTGCGTGAGTTTGAGTAGAGAGCTTTGATAAGCACTGTATACTTCTTGGTACTCTCTTCACAGTCAGACACTGCCACAACACCTCAAGGTTGACAGTTAAATGCCGCCTTCATGTCAAGAAATATGGTGGGTGTTGGTCGCCGGTAAGTGTCCGGGTTCTTGAACCTGTCGGAGGGTGAAAATCTGATCGATACACCCTCATGTATGTGTG